TCCTTTGCACCAAAGAATAAGGAATGTGCTAGCAAGGAATCCATGCTGGGAGGTGATACATAAGAAGCCCTTGCACCTGCCAAGTACTGCAGGGCCATGACCTAGAGTCAAATTAAAACACAGTGAGCCTTGTGGTTTTACAGCTGGCAGTTTCACACACCCTCTTTTGATATTTTTGTCCAGCCTGTTCTCACCACACTCTGCTCCATATGGCCAGTGAGATACTGTTCTGTACATCTTCTTGGTTTCAGAATTTAAAGTGGGTGAACTGAACATGTTGTCAAAGATCTTCTGGACTCTTGCTAAAGCCATGTTTGGTCTCAGCATCATGTTTGACCATCATACCTGAATGGTGAAAATGTGTGGGGCGAAGGTGTATTCTCTGGAATATTTTGCCTTCTCCCTAATACTGAGATGAATCTGAAGGAAGCTTCAGGGAATGAGTTTCTCCCTCATACAAGACTCTAAAAAAAAGCTAGTTCTCTGTAAGTCCTTCTGAAATAGACACATGAAAACTAAGGAAATAGAAATATCTATTTCCAGTAAGTACCCTTTATTGCTTACTAATTTTCAAGCTACTTCCTCCAATTCTGAATTTATATTTAACTCTAGCTCCCAATTGGTGATGTATTTATAGACTTTTCATTCATACATATACATTCACCTTCTGACTGAAACTATGCTTCCCACCACCTCCTTTTCTCAGGGGAGAGGAAACTTAGTCCAAAGCCAAGTAGACTCTACTCTTGGTATAAACTCTGGGAAGTGCTGGGAGGGTTAGGTATTTTGGTAGCTCCTATTCAGTAAACTCCACTTATTCCCCTTCTCTTCTAGTCATCCATCCATCCATCCATCCATCCATACATACATACATACATACATACATACATACATACATCATTATCCTTCCATCCACCTACCCACCCACCTATCCATTCATCTAATGACCCATTCAACATTTTAAAGAATTACTATTACTGAAGATTATGTTAGTCTTTTGGAATTAGACAGTGTCTACATCATCCAGTCTGTAATACAGTGGTAGGGAACAACTTTAAAAAAAAGAAAAATGCATAAAATGTGGCATGTGCTATAATAAGAAGCATGAACAGCATGTTGTGGGAGCTTGGTGGTGACTCTGTGCCTTTCTTCCCACCACCCTCATTTCTGTGACTCCTCTCTACTCCCCTCATCCAGCTTCAATACAGCCTTTAACTCTGGAGCCTGCTATTTGCACCACCACCACCATACTGCCTCCTCTCCCCCATCTTTTCCCTTTTTCCTTGCATATGAAATGAGATCCCACAAAATATATGTTAAAAAATGTGTTGGTCATTCCATAAGAAAGGTTTTCAGCCAGGTTTTGAGTGGTTGAGTCTCAGTGTGGCAAATTTGTATCAGGATAATGAGTTGTCTGAATCTATTGTAGAAGAGCAAATGAAAATGAAATGCCTGCAGTAATTGCTCTCTTTGGAGAATTCTATGAGCGATAGGATGAAATGATGTTACTACTCTATTGGCCCAGCACCATGAATTTTAAAATATTTATGTGAAAATACCAAAATGGATGCATGCCACACTCCCATACACATGTGTAAAAAAAGACTTGAACCAAAGAGCTAGACACAGTAATAGAAAGCAAATGCATCTGTCTACATAGCCAGAGGCATATTATATAAATGCTCAGCCTGCTTCAAATCCCCTGGCCAAACTAGGCAGGGCCAATGCCTTGGCCTTGATTGCTTTGGTGTTGGTGACTGCATGTCCCTCTATCACAGAGGCAGAGTCAGTGTGCCCTGGAGTGCCAATCAGAAATGCTTTCATTTGTTTATTCATTTATTCATCTGATGGAGGAAGAAATAGAAAGCAGGCATCACAGGACTGACTCACACTGGGAGTTGGGGGTCAAAGGGATTAGCACAGCCATTGACCAGCTATAGAAACCATAGAAAATAAGATCTTTAGGATCTAATACCTAGATCCTAGCAGGTAGCAGACTGCTGTAGGTGGGCTTAGAGCTCAGACTCAAAAGGAGAAAGATAAAGATATGGAGATGGAGCTCACTGTGGGACCTCCTGTTCCTTTCAGATTCTACAGAGTTTATTCAAAGTCAACCACAAGCCTAGGCACACCTGGAGTGAGCCCGTCCCAAAAGGAAGCAGTCTGTATCCCGGCAGCCTCTGCACTGGCACAGGGCAGCAGTGCTCTGCCCACCTGTGACTATGCTGGCGCTTCTTCCCACCAGCTCTCCTGGGGGGCAGCAGCCCCTGCCGGCCTGTGACCTGTACCATGCCAGGGCTTCTCTTCACTGACCCTCCCCCACCCCCTCAGCAGAGGCGGCTCCTAGTGTGGACACCCTCTGGCCCCATTCTCCATAGCACTGGGGCACCCCATTTCTGTGATGGGGTAGCTCCAGGAATGACAGCCTACAACTCTCAGGCTTACCTGGGCTTCAGCCAGGACAGGAACACAGCACCTCAGGGCATCTGGATAAAGTGGTCCCACAGGTAAATATACTATTGGAGGCACTTGCAAAACAAAGACTTTCATCTTTGATCCTTCTCTTCTGCTATAATCTAAACCAATAGTGCAATTGAAGGTTATATAGAGCTGGATCAAGAAATCCTTTTTCACTTGATACTCAGCTCCACTCATGGCAAAGTAACATAGCAACAGACTCTCTAGTTTTGTTAGCAACTAAATCTTTTTTTCTCCTAGTTTGATTTAGGGATTCAGAAAACTTTGGACTGTAAACTTTCAGTGTATTTTTGGGGAGAAATTATCTCTCGGCTTATATATCTATTTTTAAAGATTTATTTATTTTTTGTGCATACAGAACTGGGGTACAGGCCAGAAGTGCAGGGGTGGTGAGAGTGTTCCAAGGTAGGCCAGAGTGGACTGGGCCACCTGTCTGTGGGGCCTCACCCACTCAAAATTCAGTTGTACTTCAGGCACACACAAAAGAGTCAAAATTGATTTATTTACAAAAGGGGAAAAGAATAGGAAATGATCCAGAGAAAGAGAGCGGAATACAAAATAACTGGAATACCTTGGGGGTAGAAAGAGAGAGAGATAGGCTAGCTTGGGAGAGAGATAGAGACAGAGAGACAGGGAGAGAAGCTAGCTTGGGAGAGAGAGACAGGGAGGCTAGCTTGGGAGTTGTAGTTTCCGATCACTGGTGTAGGGTTAGAGTCCAGAAAGCTGGAGTGGGGGGGTGGGTCTGAGCCCCCCCTACCCCCACCCCAATGTGGGTCATCTCCAGGGCAGCGATCAAAGTCATGCGGAAGTGGCTTTAGCTTCTTAGTACTGTGCTTTAACCCACTGCCACCAGGAAGGGATGGCTTATAATTTTTTTATAATCAAAAGAAAGCTAACATGGAGTAAAGATCTGGGAGGAAAACCATCACCTTTGTCACTTGACAAGAAATAAATGTGAGGTTTTGACACATGACAAACAGATGGTGATTAAGGGAATTATTTAAGTCATGAAGGTCAGACTTGAAGGGTAAAAGGTGTTCTGTTTACAAGCACAGCGCAAAGCGGAAACTAGAGGTTGCATCACAGCCATGTTCTCTGTATTTTTACAGAATTTTTACAGAATATTTCCCTCTTCCTCCCAGCCAGGGACAAAATTCTAAGGAAATGATGTTCTTACCACTTTTCAGTCCACGTAGTGTTATTTACAAGATCCATAGAATGTAAGAGCCAGAAAGAAACTCTGGCAGGACCTAACCTAAACAATGCATTGCCCAGTGGGAGAAACTGAGGTACACAGGTGATTGCTAGGCAGAGGTCAAAGAAAGAGCCCAACCCCCCGTTTGGCCTGGACTCTCCTTAATCATCCTGAGATCTGCTGTTTCCATACAATACTAGATTGAGCAGGAGGACTTGCCCCCCAGAACTAGCCACAAGCCAACTGCACCCAGAGCTTTATGTGACTGTGCTGAAGGAGGAGGGCCACTGTGATAAACAGGTACAATAACTTATTTATTAGTGGGAGGAAAGAGACCCAGCAGTTGTTGCGCTACTACTGAAGGTTCATCATTCTCACATCTTTAATGACACCTCATTTATCAAACAGCGTGATAAGATGATAACTGCACAGAATGAGAAATGCTGACTTTCCTTTATGGGGCCAAAAATGCCATTTCTTTTGAGATGTTTTGAAGTGAAATACATGTTTCCATATAATGTAAAATTGCACATCTCCATCTAAAACTTTCCTTATTTCATGATACATAAAATATTGAAGGAACATCTGCAAACTTACCTTTGGGAGTCTGTGTATATGCACACATATATCTCCACACATTACTTGAGGACTTCCTGGAATAATTCTGAATGGAAAGTATTAGAGAGGGGAAGGAGAAGCTAAGCTTATTTTCCGTCTACAAATTATTTTCTAAGATGGTTGCAGTTTAATTAGACATATAAATATTTAATAAAATTAATACAGAGCAAACACAGAGCAGCATTACCCAAATAGAAGTCCATTGTCTGGTCTCCCCATCAGGCAATCTGTTAAAAATGGATTCTGCGGTCAAATGAATTTGAAAAATGTGAACAATATAGTCTCTTGGAAATTTATAATCCATATTAGCGTTTTATGGCTCTGAGGCATCCTGCTGTCAAGAAAATGCATTTCCCAAGCTATTTTAACACAGAGTCATTTAAATTTTTCATAGAATACATTTTGGAAACTAATGTTACAGATAATACTTTTTAAAAGATCAATAAGAAATATTTGAAACATTATGAATACATTTAAAATAATGTGAGTAAAAGCAAGAAAACTTCTCTTTAACTTCTAGTAAAGTGGGCGGAGGTCTGGGAGCTGGACACCAAAACCTTGGTCCTTTATGTAACAGGGTGGTCCCTAGGGGAAGGGGAGGTTCCAGGTTCCCTGCCCCACCCAGAAGAGGGTGGAGCTGAGCCGGAAGGAGAAGCTGGAGAGGAGACTAGGGAAGGAAGGAAGCAGGATGGCGGGCAAGAAAGAGACCTGGAGTAGGCTCACAGAGCAGAAATTGTGTGAGGAAACTGCGCTTACTTCTTGGTCCTGGACTGGTTGAAACAGATGCAGGTGAGAGATCCGTGGGGAGATTCACAATGGCAGCGTTTATCTAATTTTGATTTTGCTTTTTTCCTCCCATACTTGCCTGATGTTTCTGGCCCTTTTCTGTAACTGGAAGGTGCCCCAGACTTGTGGCCGGCTGTCAGGCCTTGCGTTCAGCCAACCCCTTTTGGGTGGGCTTTTACACACGAAGGGATGAGTAATTTTGAGTATTTGATTTAGAAACTATATTCTTTGTCTTTTCTGTATTGCACACTCATTGTATTAAAGTTTCTTTCCACTAAAAGTTCTATGTTTTGTTTTGATGTGGCAGATGGTGGAAAACACTTAGAGCAGGCAGGCTTGGGGGTCCTGGGGTACCCCCTCTCCCTGCCCTGTTGTATCACTTAGTGCTTGTCACCGAGAAGAAAGAATTCAATGTTAAGACCAGAGTTAGGCAGAAACTTAAGAAATTTATTTTTAGATAAGGAGCACAGAAAAGCTCTCTGAGCAAAAAGGAGTCTGGAGTGGGTAGAGGCTGAGGAGTAGGGAGCAGCTTTATTAAAAAATGTGGGGTGCTGGCCCTCCCTGGTGGCGCAGCGGGTTAAAGCACAGCACTGAGAATCCAAAGCCACTTCCGCATGAGTTCGATTCCCGCCTGCCCCGGAGGAGACCACATGGCGTGGCAGACCTCTCCTGGCCCGCCCACTGCTCCCCTCAGCAGTGTACTTTGTCGATCTGCCTGTTCTGCTCCCCACTGTCTCTGGTGAAGCCTCTCACCCTCCGCATCTCTGGCCTGTACCCCAGTTCTATATGAATAAATAAATAAATCTTTTAAAAAAAATGTGGGGTGCTGATGGTGACTCAGCAGGGGTTCCTAGATGGTTTCTCTCTGGTTGGTTTCAGCTGTTCCTCATCACTTGAGGCTGGGGGCTTCTTGACTGGATGGGGCCTGATTCTTGGACGGCAAAAGGTGTTAATCTTGGTGAACACAGGTGTTTGCTTCAGGGCCAGGCAACCTGTGGAGTGACCTGTTTTCCAGGGTGTTATCAAGTCTGAGGCACCTGTGGCTCCAATTGCCCCCATTCCTACCTTACTTCCTCCTTCACATGGCTGGACTCCTGCTTTCAACATACATAAAAAATGGGCATAAAATTCGAAGTGACTTTTCAGATGTTGGACAAACAGGAAGGAGACTAGACTACTGGGCCCTATGAGAGCAAGCTGGTCTTTATCCTGGGGTGCTATCTGGACAAGGGGCAGGTCATGGAGCCCCAGCACAGTAGTTCCTTGAGGTGAGGAGTGGAGATCAGTGTCAGGTTACTGAGACTTTGTGAGGCAAGGCACCAGAAGGAGGGATTTGCCCAGATAAGAAGCTTCAGAAATCCACAATGTGGTTCTCTTTCACCAAATGTAATATTCACATGAAGGAAAATCAGTGATTCCTCGAAGGAAAGAGCTAGTGGGAGGTTCTGAACTTCGCAGGGTGCAAGAAGACAGAGCTGGACCTTCCCTAGGGAGAACACGCTGGACATTGTGAGTTTGCGACTGAAAGCCAGAAAGAGGATGCTGTTGACTAATAGTTACATGAGGCTCCACCCTAACAAGGCTCAGAATCAAACCTCAAAGGTATCCAGCAGTTTGTCAGGCACATTACTTCTTATTATAAAATCAGCACACTTTCCAATGGAAATAAATAGCCAGACTCCCACAAATGGGGCATTCCAATGTCCAGCTACAGTTAAAAAAATTACTAGATTTAAAAAAAAAAAAAATTACTAGATTTTTATTTTTGAAAAGCCAAGTGGGTGTGAACCATACAGAAAATAGTGTGTGTGTGTGTGTGTGTGTGTGTGTGTGGTGGTGGTGGGGGCAGGGTAGAGCCCTATCAACAGGAATAGATACAGAGATGAGTTATTTTCTAAAATCAGCAAACATGTACTTAAGACAGATGTTATGCCTATCTTTATGTGTGTGTGTGTGTGTGTGTATAAAAGATTAATGGACATATGGACATAATCAAATAAATGGAAATAAATTGAAAGTATGATAAAGCTAAATTAAATAAAGCTAAATAATATTCCTTTCAACAAATGCTTTAAACAATATCTAGCTATTACATACTTTAATAAAATTTTCAGTTTTGTGTTTAGATCTGAACGTGAATTTTCCAGACTGAAGATTTTTAAAAAATACAAATCAGAGCTTTAGGGACCCTTCAGTTCTTCTGGTCAAGGTGAGAAAAGATAAGTGTTTTCTCCAAGGGTGTTTAGTAAACAAGCAGTAAAAATTCTCCCAAATTTCAGAATTAACTTCATCTACTACACCCATAAGATGGTATAAATTAGCTCCTAAAGTTGAGCAAAGACAAATTTAGTTCAGAACTAGTAGATGATGTTTCATTCATTTCCTTTCACTACTGATTCCCTGCCAGACGTCTCTCTGGCAGGCAGTGGCTCTGTGAGGAGGCAGCGAGAGTCACCCATGGGAGTCAGGAGTGTAGTTCAGAGACTACAAAGCAAGGAAGAAATTCTCAGGACTGTAAGAAAGAAACAGGGCTCTAAGAAGAGAAAATTCACTTTTTGTTGGAGAGACTCAACACTCGTCATGGAGAGGGTTAACTGGAGACCTGACCTTGAATGAAAAGCAATAACTGGAAAAAAAAGTTTATTCTAAAAATGTGCTTTTCTTACATGACGATGACAAGCTGCAGCTACAGAGCACGTGCAGCTATTCACTGCTCAGCAGATTAATGGTTTTTTGCTGAGGTCTTTGGAGGGCTCACCTGATTTATAGCTGTAAGTGAGGAGGCCATCATTAGGGAAGCTATGTGAATGTAACAGGTTGACATCAACAAGTGTTTCATATGTCATATCAAGGAATCAGGATATAGAGAAAATCTTGTGCCCACAGTTCGTAAATTAGTGGTTCTGCTCAGTCACACTGCTTTGTCCACCTGATAGACGTTAAAGTTTTTTGGTTGACCATGACACTAAATGACTTTCACCAGTGCCACAGGAGTTCCTTTTTACCTGCAAAATGGCACCACACAAAAGCTGCCTCTTCCCTGTAGTGCTGTGTGACAGCTTCCATCTTGATTTGCTGTTTGTATTGTTGACTTGGAAAGCATCGTGACTGCAGACCTCACTCTTCATGGATTCCAGATTGCAGACTGTGTCCTGAGATCTGCACATTAGAGCTTGCTTGAGTGTTCTTCTATGTGGGGAAAATAAACAAAAACAAAAATGCTTATTGAAGGCATTGAATTCTGGAGCGGGCTCTCAAGGGCAAGAGGGTAAAGATGTCAGTCACACCATTGGCTTTCTTATACATTTTTAATGGCTTTAAATAATATATTTTTACAACTATTTAGATTACTCACAATTTGAATTGCATTATTTTTATTTTAAACTATTACAAAAAATAATTTCCTTCTTAAGAAGTATGTATTGAGTTCCACACATGTGCTAGGAGTTGATACTCTATGAAAAAACAAAAGAAGTGACACTTTCCATGATTTATTATCTATAATACTGTAGGACTCAGGATCATGATCATAAATCTTTGAATAATTATTAAGCACACTCTAGGTACCAGGCACTTTTCTAGGTACTAAGAAAGAGAGGAGCCAAAGACCCTCAACTGATCACCTCTTAAAAGTCCCCCATTTTGCCCCCTGGTGGTACAGCAGGTTAAAGCACAACACTAAGAAGCTAAAAACACGTCAGCACATGATCCCAGCCCTGGAGGTGATCCTCATGGCACCGCAGACCTCTCCTGACCCTCAGAGCTCTCCTGACCGGCCTGCTGCTCCCTCAGCAGTGTGCTTGGTCAGTCAGCCTGCTCTGCTCCCTGCTCTGTCGCTGGTGAATCCTCTCACTACCTCTGCACCTCTGACCTGTACCTAGTTCTGTATGCATAAATAAATAAATCTTTAAAAAAAAAAATCCCCCAATTGGGGGAGGAATAAAAATAAACTCTTCACTCAGAGAGGTAATTTAACCAAGGTCATGTGCTAGTAAGTTTCAGAGTCCATTCTCTTCTGTAGTCATAGGTTTTTCCATTACACAAAATTGCTCTTTTATAGAAATAAAAGCAAATATGACGGATGTTTTCCTGAAAGGGATGAATAGTTTGATAGACCAGGACTGGAGCAAAGAAAATTATATTATCTCTTCTCAATAAAACAGAATAGATTACATCAAATCCATCAGATTTTTCTCACAGAAGTGTGTTAGGAGACATGTTCGTAGGTTGGAGTGGGAGAGTCTTATTTAGTCAGCTCAGTCCATTAAGAGTGAAAATATATTGCTGAGAGCAAGACATTTTGCTGTGGGGTTTAATTTGGAAAAATTTATTTATAGCATATAAAAAATAAAAGAACCTGAATATGATTTGCTTCTAAAGGGGAGAGGTGCTACTGATGGTGATTGCCTCTGGCCAGCTGCTTACTTGCACCAGAAATAGTTTGGAACTATGAAGTATTATTTTTCTTTGTTTTCTAGGACAGTCTCCATCAGTTGAAATTTGGCTGGTGCTATTATTCATGCTCTCTGTTGTCCTCTCCTTCCCCCCCCACCAAGTTTCGATTTGATTTGAAAGACAAAGCTAGCCCTCCTTTTCCATGCAGAACCATTTAATTGTTTTTAAAAATGAACTGACATTGCATTATAACGTTAATAATAGTAAATTTCAGGTACTCTGGAAATCTATATGCATTACCCTATATTGAGTTCACATTAAAAGTCCAGCTCTACCTTTTCATGATAAAACTTTCATTTTTAAAAGTTGTTTTTAATGTTATTTGTTTATTTGTTCATTTGTGAATTTATTTGTTAAGTTGTGATTGAGCATCTACTGTCTGTCCAGGTACATAGGGTTAGGCACTGAGGGATGATGTTAGTGACAGGAAGCAAGCTCTTGGAACCAATATCCTTGTAAGGATACTTTCAGAGTGTAAGGAGTCTCTGACCCAAACCTAGTTATCAGGAAAATGACTTCTCTGTTGTTCTGATTCTGCAATATGACTA